TTTTTCAATCCATTAGCTTACAACAATATAGGAAGTAAAAACCAAATAAAGCATAGCAATCTTACTAAGATAACCTGTTGAAATAACAGCGGGTATGGTAAGATATTGAAAATCAGTTTCAATGACTTTTCAATTCTGAGAAAAACAAAAAATAAGCTGCACCTTTGCTTTATCCATATTCAACACATATGGAATGTAGATTAAGCATGTTGGTACTTACTTTTTTCAACATTTTAGTCAATACTATCTTCTATTAAAAACCCCTTTAGTCCTCATTAATGTTTCAAAACCTTTACAGTTTAACGGCAATAAAATGGGCTTACGGGTCTTATTAGATCTCTAGGACTATCATAATAATCTTATCTAAATCTTTTATTTCTTTTTTTATTTATTTCTTTTCTTTTTATTTCTTTTATTTAATAAAAAATTTCGCTGATGTGTAGGATTTTGTTTGATACAAAAAATCCGCTCATGTCTGCTTGTTTGACGAGTAATTTAAGAATACTTAATCAAATATTTATTTGCAATGTTAAGGACTCAATAAATCAATTAACTACTAAATGCAATCATTTAAAAGGTTCCAACATCAATTCAAGAAACTCATTGTAAGTTTACTTTCTTTGGAATTCTAAAGCACGCATAATGCTAAATGCTACTACTGCATTATTACTTTTATCTGTTGGAGCAAATGAAAATTCTTCGCGTAACAGCACATTACCTTATCCAAAATGGGTAAACGAATCATTTGTTATCGAGATTGTGCATGAGTTACATGATGTATATAAATTTAAGAATTTCGTCTTTTATATAACGGAAAAATTAAGCTTACACTCTTATGTGTTCCTTAAGTTTTTCAATAATTTTTGGAAAGCTTTTCCTACAGCACCGAATATTATAATAAGAAGTTCGAAGTTTGCTTATCTTATGGATGGGTTTCTAAGTACTCCTTCTTTATGTTTAGTACTTACTACAGGACCTGATGATCCGATTATGGAATTGGCATCCGAAAGTCTAAAAGGCGTGCATATGTTAAAGACAATTTTTGTTCTCTTTCCTATTCTAGACTCAGATGATGTATTTTCAAGTTCCGAGCGTTTTAAAAATTTTTCCAATAGTATACATTTAACCTATGAATGGATTTGGAAGCATCAATTCACTAACACGATTTTATTGACTAAAAATAATAATGTGTTCATTCATGAACCGTATCCCGTACCAACAATTGTTAACAAAACGGAAAACTGGACTGCAGAGGATTTTTTCATCAATTATATGTCAGATTTCAAGGGATATGTTGTTGATACACCCATCAGATTTGATGTGCCGCGTGTCTTTTATGGATTTAATAGACAACAAAATGGCACAGAAAACACTATCATAAGTGGAACTTCATTGGAATTATTCGTTTCTTTTGTCGAGAGCATCAATGCAACATTAAATGATTCGACATTTAATAGTTCTCAACTGGTAACAGCCAATTTCGACTTATTAATTGCTTATATTGCAGATGAATTAATTGAAATAGGCATCCATTCTTTCACCGATATGTATAATATGGACATTGGCCGGAGTTATCCGATTGGCATCAATGACTGGTGTATAATGGTGCCCTATAAAAATCGTTCTCCTGATAACCTTTACTTAATGCGCACATTCCAACCACTAATATGGTATTTAATATTTTTCTCTCTGGTGTATATATCTATTATTCTATGGATGTGTATAACTGATGGACCTAAGGAATTCAGTATTTCAATGCTACAAGCTTTGTGTTCTTTACTGTGCATAGTTCCTACCAAAATTCTGCTCATTCCCACCGCACGTATGAGATTTCTTTATGTTATGCTCTTTTTGTTTGGCTTTATGTTATCAAATATGTACATATCGAAGATGGCCAGCTTCCTCACTACATCACCACAGGCGCAGCAAATTCTTGATGTAGAGGATATAATTTCGGAAGATTTACATGTTATGGTGGTTGAGTTTGAATACAATATGTTAGCAGCTTCACCAAATAGCTTCAACAAACGTTTTCTAAAACAATTGCA